GATCCATTCGACCAGAACCCACATGACGCTGCGAACGCTTTAAAACGTTTAGATCAGAGAAGAACACAGCAAGACTCAGCTGCAACGCACAAAACTTTCGAGTAAAGGACGTTGTAGAGCGGAATAGAACGTTGAATTGAGCGGCAAGCCTGGAAACTTCACCTTATTGGATTATACTTGGTCATGTGTCGGTCATGTGAAGATTTTGCTCATGAAAGACTGGGACTAGTGATCGTGTGATCCATTCAGCGCCATGGTCGCCATCTTATGAACGGTGATCGAAGTAGCGATAAATGACTTTTAAAGTTAGTGTTAACGCCTGCTAGTATGAACCATGGATGGGAATGAACATCAAATTTACAAATTAGTCAAACTTAACGGCCAAGAGAAGTATGAATGTACGGCTTGTAAACGTGTTCTCTCACGACAACAGACAATGGAAAATCACATGCGCTCTGTGCATCGTTACGTTGGACCGGGTAAGAAAATGTAATGTAATGCTTAAGCTTATATAGCGCATTTCACAATGTCTCAATGCACTTCAAGCTTCAATGATGCTTGTAAGTTTCAAAACCAGTACGAAAAAAACTATAGAATTGATAAGCAATTCTTTTATAAAAATGGCAATTAAGCTTAAGAAATTAGTTTCAAAATCCTCTCTTCCTCAACTGTTCCTTCTGAACCTACAACTATTCTTTTATTCCTCTAGCACTTTTTGAAAAGAAGCATCGCATTGATATTTCTTATTCTCAATGTTTTAGGTCTGACCTGAAAGCAAAGAGTGTCACTGAAATTTTGGAGAAGATTATGCTTCTAAATGGCAATTCCAGAAACCATGTTATAATAAGATTTCCAAACTTTAATGCTGTCTGTGGTTAGATATAAGAAAATATCACTTTTTAAGTCTCAATATGCCAGATTTGAAATTTCCCATCGCTTCAAATAAGACTTCCTTGTTATAATATTTAAGTAAAGATATGTTCTTAAGCTTTTTGTATAAAATATTCTAATCTGGCAAATAAATTGATACTTGATACTATCTATATTGAACTTAAGTTTACTTTAAATGGAAAGTATGTAGAATTCACCATATAATTGGAATAAATCAGGAGACAGTGCAAAATTATGTTGGCTGAATCTTACACATTGTGATAAACCATTTTTCAGGGATGCCTCAGGCTGATATAACTTTGTATTTCAGTGTGGTCAGAGTCGCTGTCCTTGCAGTATAGCATTTTTTATTATCTGACTGGAGCACCAAACACATGGATTGAAATCCCACTTGAATTGCATTTGATTTAGTTTTCTGCTTGTATTCTTTACTACAGTAAATTTTTATTTCAATGTATTGTGATATGCAATTGAAGGATAAAAAATTAATGTTTTATTGGAAATTGTATAAACTTCAAGAATATCTGCTTTAAAATTAATGAGTTGTAAATTATAATGCAAAATAAAAAAAATTTGTGGTATATTGCAAGTAGTGACTTTTTGAAACATCTAAAATGGCACTTTTCTTTCAAAAGCTAAACTCACAAGTATAATTCTTAAAAATTAAGGTTTTATTTTAAAAAATAATTTTTCCTAGTAAATTCCTAAGAATTTCCCAAGGATCAAGAATCTATTTTTTTATGTAAATTCTACCTGTAATCATTCCTAGGAATTTCCTAGGAAATTCTTAGGAACCTAGTAATGTTTGTTCACACCTCTAGAGAGCTTAAATGTTTTTAGGAAAATTCCACTGACTCCTAAGAAATTCCTAGGAAATTCCTAGGAATCCTAGAAAGCTAGGAAACCATTTCACAAGGGTATAATAATAATAATAATAATAAATGAATATCAATTAATTAATACTTACTTCCAAACAGAGACTTTTTTATGTTTACTGCATCACCACAACTTCCTAATTTCGGGAGGAAGGTTGGAGTTTCGGGTTTACACGAACAGCTACATTGTGTGCTACTTTCCACCCAAGCCGAGGCGTTCGCACAAACATTTGAAGGACATTCGAAGCCAGTTTTGTACACCACCTTGAACACGTCAGTATCATATCTACCTCTTCTCGTAATAACGTACTTCTCAACGCCTTCCGCATTTAAAGTAGCAAGTGAAGAATAAGTTTGAAGTGTAGTTACATACAACACCAAAACAACGATCCTTGTTAAAGAGCAAGTTGAAAGCTTCGCCGATCGCATGTTCCTTGATTGGTTTGCGGAAACAAGCCACAACTGTCTCCTTTTACACTTTGCGATTGACCTTTCGCTTTTTATCTCTGCATGATACGGCTGGAACCAAAAGAATTACTTTTATAGCGGGTTTGTTTGTTTATACTCCAAGACATAATCTTTTTGCAATCCCGATAAGCCCGATATTGAACGCGTGCCCAAGTTTTATCCACTTTAGAGACCGAAATATTTGATAATAGATCCGTACGTCAGCGTTACATCACACTACATGCGTGGGTGACGTCAAAAAGTAAAAACTACATTTTTCAGCACCGAAAAAGGTGAAATTTCCGTAAACGCCTGTTGGTTTATTTATTTTGAAAACTCCCTTGAGGAACGATTCTCAAAAACTATGTGTCATGCTCAGCTAATAGGGAAAGAGAGAAGAAATAAGGAACGAGATATGAGTGCAAGATGTCGATTGCATATGTTTACTTTTGAGGAATTGAGAAGTGAAGTTTCAAGAATTTTTAGCCCGTAAGTGGGTTTATTCGCTTTCAAATCACGAACTGCGGTTCTTTAACCTTTCAGTATCAAAACTGTGAGTTTGACTGCTTCACTATGTAAACATTAGACAAAGATTAAAAACCGATAGAACAATAATAGAGGAGCCAAAGCAAATAGTAGCTTTTTAGATATATACAATTGCTCAGTGACATAAATTCCGAATCATCTTGACCGTAATAAGCTTAAAGAGACGATGATACAACTTGAGGATTATTTAGAGTTAAAAATCATCATCCTGTTATCTTTTAATGATTGTGTAGGGGAAGGGAAATTATCTATGTGTGAAAACCGTGCGTGATTCGTCAAGGACCATTAACACAATCACCTTAGCTAATATTACTTCAGCAGCGCGCATAGTTTGGATATTTCAGAAATGTTTTGTCACCCTCTGAAAACAAATTTGACTCATGATGACTGGGAACATTACGGAGATACCAGTGAAACAAAAAATGATACAGAACGAAAACGAAAACTGAAAGAAACAACGGTAGTTTGGAAAACAAGGAATGCCGGAATTCGGAACCGGAACCGGAATACCCGGAATTCCCTGAATGGTCGAAAAATAACAAATTAAAAAAAATAAAAATAAAAGTAAATAAATAAATAAGAACATTGATGATTAAAAATTAATGGTAAATTCACAACTTAATTAAATAATCTAATAAGAAATTTTTCTCTGAGGGTCCCGAAAAAAACACTTACCGCTATACCGGCACTGTTCATGGAGATGCACGTATTAGAATTAAGAAAAGTCTGCGTCAGGCCAGTAGCCCATACAGCCTAAGCGACGAAATATTTCTACTCTCCCTTCCCCCTGAATGGGATGCTAGTCCATCACATGGTTACTCCCCGTTTTAAATTCGCTTCCACCCATTTACACACCTATCGGAGGTCCAGACAGGGCGCCATAACCATTAGGCCCACACGCTTTTCCAGCCGGAACCATTGCAGAAGATCAAACAAATGCAATATTTCCAATTAGTTTAAAAATCTCCGAACTATTACAAATTGATACTCTACCTTAAATAATTATTAACCACACATTGGTAGCTATCAAAGTAGCTACCATTAAGACCAGCCGTCCACAGTTAAAATTGAGAGATCGTCAGTTACTCGATACCTTTTCGCGTCTATTATAAATACCTTGAATATATACCTTTAAATACATATCTTGTACTGATGGATTCTTCTAAACAAGGTTTATATTCAAAGGTATATATTCGAGTTATTTATGATAGACGCGAAAAGG